CAACTGGTTTGCGATGGAGTGCGGGTTTTCTAGATGCAGTAATTCCGCTGCATCTTTATCATCACGTTCAGGACGACCACGATGGCAGCCATTGCTGATGGCCTGAACTCCCCCCTCGATGGTTGCCGTCCACTGTCATCACCCAGTAGGCCTCTGCCGATGAAGCCATACCCTCACTGTTGCCTCAATCATCGGGTGCTTCCAAGCATCCCAGCGACGATGCCAGGTTTTCGTGCGAACCATAGCTTTGCAGCCATATGGGATCAACCTTGGTAGGTCCAACCCAAAGGCCCGCAGTTGTCCACGATGTCTTTCTTCCGCCGCATGCCTAAGTGCTGTAGGCCAATCCCGAATGGGTAGTCCAGCGGACTGCAGGAGAACTCGTGTTGCGTTCTTCAGTACTCCCATCTCAATCTCTGCTCTGGTGTTGCCGGTAGGTTCATCTCCAGCGGTGAAGCAATGCTCCAGATCTCTTGCCGTGGTCCACTCCCGAAATCTCTTCGAGACAAATTCTTTTGCTCGATCGGCAGAGTACCGTATCTTGCAAACAATTTCGATGTCGCTGCAATCACCGTCGCCTCCTTGCGATTCAACAGGGGTGCTGCTAATGTGAGATGTTTCACACCCACATCCTTGAGCTTGAGCTCAGCGATATGCTGCATGCTGCTCAAAGGATGCCAGCTTCACTTCAGCCTCATGCACCACTGCCTCATCACCATCTCCTTTCTCCTGCCTGTCCTGAATGTGTGCTCAGCACCCTCCTCCACATCCTCCACTGAGTCATCTGGCTTCCAGCCCCAGATAAGAGGTTTGTCATGGCGGACAGGTACTGTCACTGTGGTCACCAAGAAGTATCTCGGCTGTCCCATATCCTGGTCACATCCTGGGGCAAAGGGCCCAGCCACGTCCACTGCCATTGTGAAGGCACTGGGAAACTGCTGTCGAAGACGTGGACGGAGACATTCACGACAATCCCTTCGATGTGGAACATGCCCATTCAGTATGTGTTGATACCACGCCCAGTTGGTGTCCTCCCTGACAGTCTTCACTTTGGGCAGGACTGAGTTGTCTACTCTCTGCCAAGAATCCACCACCGCCTGCTTCAGCCCCACCGCCCAGGCAGCAAAGCTCTTCGATTCCGCCAGTGCCTGGTCAAGGTGCGTTGGCCATGACGTTGATGTTCTACTGTCCTTGATTCCATCCAGTTGCGTGACTTCAGGTATGGATGACCAGAGACATGTTGGTTTCTTCCGTGCGTGACCCAATGCTCCTTGCTCAATTGAAATCCGCTTCAATTTCAAGTCTGTCTCCAGCACCTGTGTCACCTCCGGCCACACTGTGAATGTAGGCATGTTTTCTCCCTCACGATGGGTCCTCCGGCGTCTCCACCATGAATCCGGTCTCCCCCGGATTTGCTGACTCACACAGTTCTGCCAGAACCAAAGTCCTTAGAAGCAACTGGGTGTCAGTGTCCACCAATGTGCGCTCATGCGGCGTCAAATCACTTTTGCCCCATCTTCCAGGGCCCTCACGGTCTCGCACCTGACGCGGTCCACCATCTTCTCGAAGACGAAGAACAGAGATTGACCTACATGGTGGCCCAGCCACGACTGTTTTTATCTTACCTGATCTTGCCACGTCCACCAAGTATGCCATCGTAGCATCGTTCAACAGGTCTTGGTTCTGGAGGATGTCCACGTTCAAGATCACCCACCCTGCAACCACCCTTTTTGTCCACCAAGCAGGATCTGGCCCACAAAATAGGTTGAGGACTACATTATCGGCCCTCTCGATACTCCACGCAATCTCTGTCGACTTGATGTCCTGTCGAATTGCCAACTTTGCCAAATGCTCCAGTGGGACGGCCGGGAATTTTCCCTTCAACATGTTGAGGTCCAACATGAAGTCCTCGGCATGATTTTCTTGGTTTCCATGGATCAAGGCCTTCACCACTCCATGGATCTTCTTCTTCTCCTCCTCCAAGCATGCCATTAGTCGCTTGCCGTCCTCAGTCGAGACATATGGGCAATTGGCGACAACTTTCACTGCCAGTGTCCCCGCCCTTGGATGCCGCAAACGACATTGGCCAGGTCGCCAATCGATGACTCCCCCTTGTGCTACTAGTTCTCCGAGTGGTATTATTGGCGCCACTTCGCCATCATTGGTCAGTAAGACCCCATTCTCAGTTTGGCGCAGAATGCAATCGCCTGTAGCGGTTTGCACCACCGTTTCTTTTGCGCCTTGCCACTCTTCCTGCGATGTTGGAGCTCGCAAGATGAGTCCAGCAGTACTCCACAACCTTCACAGGTGACTTTCGCAATGATCGCCCTGATTGGTGGGCGCGGCGCCCTCAGTGACCTCAGGAGTGATGTGACCTCGCCCAGGAGCTCGTTTGGGGTCGTTTCCCACTTGCCCCCGTGCTTGATGTCACTGCCGCATTCGAACTTTCTGCAGTTTCCACCATCTGTGAACTCCCACTCCCCCCACCAGCACTATCACTAGCTGGTGTAGTCCCGGAGGTAGATCATCCAAAATTCACTTCTGAGTTGATTCCTTCCTTACCACATCCACCACATCCAACAAGCACATCTTAACTACCACGCCAAAGAAACGCCTGCATTCTCGAGAGTCGGTCCCGGCTTGTTGGACATGTTGCTGGTCTTGGCCTCAACGCGGACCGCCGGGACGACGGATTGAACATTCACCGACACAGACCGTGCTGATCCAGTTTCTCTCACTCTTGGGGGTCAGCAAGAAGGAACCTTTTATGGGCACCATTGGGTTTTCTTTTTTTTGGAGAGTGAACTGCAACTTCACCTCCAAATGTGGGTCTTTATCTTCATTCCACTTCTGGGAGACCAGGAGCCCTGCTTGTAGGCTTGGGCCCATCGATGCTTTAGAAAACGGCAGCCCCATCTTTCGGAGATCCCAAGTGGAGTTCCTCCCAAACGGGTGCAAGCTCTGATTCACTCGTGAAGTAGGATCTCTATTGAGTTAATACATGATGCCTCAAGATTGGAGCCCCTCTGAGACCTGTTTTGAAGGAAAAGTGGACCAAGTCAACTTTGCTGCCAACAATGGTTCGGTTGTCGATAGTAAGCATCATGAACGAATCCCACTTGCAAAGGTGCCAGTTCAACAAAGATCTAGACATGCATCGGACATGAAACCACGAAACGTGAACCCTCAAAAAAAAAATCCGACAACCTAGATCACGAACCAAAAAGAATCGAATCGTCCCAATCAAGAAGTCCGGCCCAACCTCATGAAGACTCTGACCATGTTGATGGCGTTCGGATTCCTTGCGCAGGTGGATCAACTTCGCGAACCTGAGCCACATCACAACAAGGCGTCGACCCAGTTAGGCGATGTCTACAGCATGTCCGGCTGATCGGTAACTGGGTTGATAGACTCTCTTCTGAGGTGTGCTTGCATCCACTGAGCAAAACCCGAAAGTCGTCGAAGGAAGATGCTGTTGGGGCTCCGGCGTTGAACTGCAAATGCGATCTCTGGTTTCAGCCTGTCAGCTGGAGAGACAGAGAGAGAGACTTCCACAGGGACAACAGCAACAATGCCAACATCCCGGAACCACTCGAAGAGGCACTCGCCTCAACACATAGATACAAGCTACGGCCACCACTCTACGATGGCAACTTCGGAACATTTGAAGAGTGGAAGTACAAGTTCACAGCATACATGGGCCTGGTCCACAAAGGTACCGCTTCTCCTTGAACAAGCGGAGACAGCACCACAAACAACAACTGACACGGCTTTGAGGAATGCAGGAGCGACGATGGAGGAAGCAAAGGAGAACATAAAACTTGCAGCAGAATTACGCTACATCCTCATCAGCAGCACTTCTGGCACGGCGGCAACAGTTTGCAAACAACATCCAGCAAGAACAGGATTCGAGATGCACAGGCAGCCTACTACACGCTTCTCGATTCCAAAAGGCACCATGAGCATTGGCTACCTAACACGCCTAGATAGCAACAGCTTCGCCGAAGCTTTCGCCACCTGGGAATTTGAGCTGGCGAAGTGCGAAACAAACAGTGGACAAACACTCCCAGACTCAGTCAAGATAGCCGTCCTTCTCAACGAGACCAAGGGACCACTACAGCAACACCTGCAACTACAATATGGAGCACTACCGCTCCATCGCGGCATTTCGGGGACTGGAAGTCCTGTAGCTACAGCTGCGGGCGAAGCTCTGAACATCAAGAAGCCGGTCTACCGTGCCTGTTGGCTAAAGAAGCCGGCTGGCAAACTTTTAGGCCGCCGAAGGCCCTGGCGTGCTTGACTGTATGAATCCGTTGGAAAATGGAACATCTCACAGATCGAACTCATGCGACAGCTACACCGGTGCGTCAGCTACACCGTCTCACAGATCTCCGTTGGAAAACAACACAACACAACACCGGTGCGTCAGCTACAAACCTGCCTGCGGAGGCTCCTTCAAGTGAATGAAGCCATACAAGAGGGCTCCCTCTGGCAGCCGCACGTCTGGAACTGCGGTCGCAGATCGGAACATGGCAGGTCGCAGTGGCCCGCGGCTGGCAGATGTCGCGGACTTGCACCAGCGATGTGCGGTGACCAAGTTTACTTCACAGGCTCTTTGGTTGTGCTTCGTTCCATGTTCACATATATAATATTGTCTTGCCTTCCTGCAATACCAAACGATACCCGCATTGTAATGATGTTTGGAGGCCTTTTTCAGTGACCGGTCCCAAAAAAGAACGAGGCCACAGTGTCCGACATATTTTCGGGGAGACCACCCAATCACACGAAATCACCTCTGCCCCCCCTCTCCGGAGCCGGCCAACTTTCAGGTCCAGCCGATTTTCGGCAGGTCCCGGTGGACGCACCACCAGCGCTTCGAGCGGCTTGCGCAAGGATGGCCAGTGGAATCGGTCTCACATTCTGGGGTGTCTGGCATCATAGGAATTTATAATCATCCAAAATGGACCCCATAGAATCTAAAACCTCAAACTCTCCGCAGTTGCGGAGGAAAAACGCTGCAAAATATCATCTAAAATCTCACTTTACGTTTGCCATCCTCGCTCACCGCAGCTGCTTTGGCCTTGGCCTTTGCCTTCGGCTTCGCCTTCGGCTTCGCTTCAAAGCCGGGGCTGGGACCATCCTCGTAGCGCCCGTAGCGCATCCAGCGGATCCAGGCCGTGGGGAAGTGGCGGCTCAAGCGTTCCCAGAAGGCGGTGTCCTGCGGAACACTCGCATGGCTCGACGCCTCCCGCACCGCGTCTTGCTATGCGGGTGCAAAGGATCGACGCGGTGAAGGTTGGACGCAGACATAGGATGAAAATGAACGTGCGGGATGAAAAAAATGATGTTCACAGAATGTCTTCGTTCCTGTGATGGATGAAAATTGCAATCAATCACTCCTTCGAAGTTGCCAATCTGAAGTCTTCCATCACCTTCTGCCACCCCAAAAGGACCATCGTCCGTTACAGCTTGGTTCTGGTCATCTCATATAGCATTCAGATGCATTCAGCAAAACTCCTGATCTGCACGGGGTCAACACCCAAAATTTAAAATGGAGGGTATCTCTTCAACAAGAAAGTTAACTGCCCACGGCTCCACCCTGTCCCCGTGTCGTCGTAGAGACAACGCGAATCGCCTCTCCTGGTGCAGCTGCGGATCTGCAAAATGGAACGCTGCAGCATTGCCTCGGACGGAGCGCAGCGAACCGGCTCTGCTCGAGCAGAGCGGGTGGCAAATGGAATGATGCCAAATGAGATGAAAACAGATCCGTAGGTTCCTAATCGATTTCGGGCGGGTTCCGGTGCTCCGAATGAATCATTGACCAACCTCCCGACATGGTCAATCCAAACACCCGCCAACAGATTGCAGTCATTGGAGCTCCATTCCCATGAGTCTTCCGAACAGAGCTGCGACCGAGGTCCGTGAGGGTGCTTGGGGTCGTCATTCGGTTGTGAGTCGTTGGTTTCTGTTCTAACGTGTAGGACATTGTCCCAAACAAACCAAAAATGCAGGATTGCTAAAGTCCGAGATCAAAACCATTATTGACAAGAATTCTAGTTCTAAAGGACGAAAAGAAATACACTTGTGTTTATCCCTTGACAGAATTTATAAAGCAAGAACAAACCATTAAAAATAGTATGTTCGTGGACGTGTTCTCTGGGTACAACTTTCTATTGTTTGTGGACTAAGAAAATGACTGCCAGAAACAATACAAAGAGATGAAAATAAATGGTATCGTTCATGAAGGGTTCAATCGTATGCTCTCTTTGTTTTTGATGAACAATCACCCATAAAATCCAATATATGTCTGGTCACTCTTATGTAGTTTATTAATGATCGTACGTTCTTCCATGGTTGACCAAAGAAAGATGGCCCGGTGATTTTAATCCATGGGTTTCCTCGCACTGAAATAAAGAGGATGAACACCTGCATTGATATTTCGGTCTTTTGGGTTCTCACATGCTACTACTTCTACAAAAACAACAAATTTTGATAAACAAGAAAAACAGAAACATTTTAAAAATAAAGGAAAAGGATCAAAGGAGAAAATACACAACCATTAAAAAGAATAATTAGTGGGTGTCTCTCGGGCCCAAATTATCCTATTCTCGTTGGCCTCTCATCTACAGCGTCAATATGAAGGAAAAAGAGGAGAGAATGTTGGCCAGAAAATAGTCAAGTGAAGTACTGTGCAAAATAATTTAGAAAGTGCAAAGATTCTCCACTGAACCTGAGAAGCTGCAAAACGAAAGCCAGCGCTTTTGTGGGGCTGATTCGCAGTGCAAAGCCGGGAAGAAGCTATTTCCACTGTCTGTGAAGCCTGATGCGCGCCATACCTGGGAACAGAATTGTAGCTACAAGACCTTTATTTTCAAGGTGGCCTGAACAGAGTGTTTTAGGGCAGCAAACCGT